GACAGGAAAGCATTGATCACACTGTCAAACCTCAAAGGGAAGGTAGGGGAGGGAGAGGGTAAGGGGGAAAGATCAACCAAAGGACTTGTATGCATGCATATAAGCCTAACCAGTGGTCATGGATAACAGGGGGGTGGAGGCATGCATAGAGAGGGGTTTAGGATGGGAATGGGGGGACGAGGACAAATATGTGATACCTTAATCAATAAAGAAATTTTAAAAAAAGTAAAGAAGAAAGTAAGTACCTTGAGACTGGTAGGAAGGGCAGAGGTAGGGAAGAGGTTGATCTGATACACACATGTGCTGTCTTTTTAATCAGGAGGGAGATCGTCCCTGCCTAGGCTGCCCATGAGGATCAAGGGGTCCCAGCCCCACACCAGACCATATCCAAGGTTCCAGAACTTGGAAAAAAAGTCCCCATAACTTCAACGTCAGGCTGTAAAAGCCAGTGGAGATTGTGGCTGAGGGACACAGAGGCTGCTGGAGACCCAGGTGCTCCTCTTAAAGGGTCGATACACAAACTTACTTGGACTTCATTCCTCTAAGCTCCAGCACCAGGCAGCTGTGGGTGTCCCAGATACATACGGAGAGGAACTGGATTGTCCGGCATTGGAGCAGGAACTCAGGGGTGGCTTTCTCCCGGACAGGGGTTCTCACCGGGGTCATTGTTCCTGTGCTGGAACCTTTCCTCTGTCCGAGAGCTGACTGGCAGCCATATCTGAGTCTTCATCAGCCCGGCTCACAGCTTGCTCTGCCCTGGTGATTCACAGAGACCCCACTCCAAACTGTGTTTCTTTGATTACTCTGTGGATTTGTGTGTCAGTGTCATACTCTTTATATTTATTATATATTTGAAATACATGTTAACTTTTTAACAAGCCCTCTCTTGTTATATTTCTCCTTTTGACTTTTATTAGACTAAACTATCTGCCTCTATCTACCTGGGGATGAAATGTCCTCAGAGGAAGAATCTCCCATTGCCATATTCCCTGGTTTACCCCCCTTTTTACCCCATTCTCCCCTGATAGGGTCTCTGCTTTCAAGTTCTGTTCCAAGAATAAAAATGAGTTCTCTATGGAAAGCCACCACCTTGCCTATTTCCTCCTCCTAACCTGTTTTGGGCCAGTTTGCCATTATTTCTACTTCAGAATAAATTTAAAATCAGCTCAATTAGATTTAAAATAGAGAATTAGTCATAGAAAGCACAGTTTCAGTATCATAGTTATACTAAAATTTACACAACAAAAATCCTCTCTTCTAGTTGACCAATCTATGTACTTGCTTTGGGGGGTAACTAACCTTTCAAACAAAAACAAATGTGTTTGAGACCCTGAACACTCTTGGTTTTCATTTTGGTAAATAAAGGGTTCCATTTTGTTTACTTCCTCAAGAACAACGTTCTTCACCAAATGAGAAAATGAGATGCTTCACCCTGGCTAGAAAATGTCTTGAAAAATGGAATAATAAGTCATTAAAGCTTCTCTCTCTCTCTCTCACTCTCTCTCAGACACACACACATACACACTATAGACTTAAGTACACCAATAAATCACAACCCTTGCATTACTGCTCATGCCAAGGGCCTTGGTTGCTCTCAGTTATTTCCAGTTTTATATGGAATATCATATACTTAGAGAGTTGTTGAGATTTCTAGTTGTCATTAGAAAATATCCTATAACTTCTTCCTCAAGTGCATCATCCTTCCACCTTCCTCGGCTGCAGGGCCTGCTGCTTAGGTACAGTCCATGCCCAGCATGGATGCCTGGCTGGCAGTTCTATTTCCAACTCATTGAAGGGCAGGATATGTGGCTTCTGCAAGCCTCATTTGCTTCTTTTCCAGCTGAGTGTTCAATGGTTTAACCCAAACCTCAACTCTAATTGTAGACTCATATCATCCTTACTCAGAGCAATTCTTTCTTTCCTGATTTCCTTTAGAAGCTGAGTGTGTGATCTGAGTAGATCTTACCAAAAGGAAGCTCATTACTTTCTTTTAGTTGAGGTGGGCAGGAGAGATTCTGTTTCTTCTCCTGGATTCAACTAAAGAAGTATGTAGCCCCCAGCTGCTTGCAACCAGCTTTTTCTTGATGGGACCTGGCCATGGAACCAAGCCAATACCTGGAATCCCCAGCACCTGGAGAGGGAGGCTCACAGAACCTGACTGAATAGAGCCAACTTCCTTGTGTCATGTTTCAGTTATGTGAGATAATGATTGTTTAAGCCTCTTCGAGTTGTATTTTCTGTTACTTGCAATTAAAAAATATCCGGATCTTTCAAATCATCTCTGACCCCTGGAAGGGACACGCCTCCCATGGCAGAGGTGGGTGGGCATCCCTCAGGGTTCTAAATCCAAGCCTAGTCCTTTTTTGCTTTTCTTTCTCCTGTCAGTATTCAATTTCCACTTCTGGTGGGATTATTTCTCCCCTCATTTAAAAAAAGACAACACAAATAATTGATTTGAAGTTTAAATTTTAATTTAACTTAATTTTTATTTTATATCAGCAATACATATTTGTAAGTTAGACATTAAATAGTTCTTAAAAGGCGAAGAGAGGTTCCCACCCTATCCTCTCACCTGCAACTTCTCTGTAGAGTTAATCTCTGACTTTTCTTCTGGACTTTAGCTCCTATTGCTAAATAAATTTTATACAGTTATTTATCAGTTTCTAGCTTTAGTTATGTATTCTCTGCGATGGGAGATGGGGATTTAGTTTGCTGACACTCCTCTTCTCTCATATACAAATCCTAACCCCCTCATTTCTTGAAAAAAAGTTTATATCATAATATTTTGTTATTTACATTATTCTGTACATAAATATTATTCACAGCTAACCCATGCAGTATATTATATTCTTTCTTTAAAAAACAAATAAGCAGATTTCCTAGTATTTAATAATTGCATTGTCTTTTCACTTTCTATTTTTCTATTTATCTCCACTAGTTCATCCTAAGTTCTCTAAAAAAACCAACAACACATAAATCGCTCCAATGTTTACAAATCAATTTGTTTCTTGTGTGTGTTTTTTTGCTACATACCAACATCCTGGGAATTCTTTTCATCTTTCTCCTGTGTTGGATTTCTTGTTTCCTACACTGTTATGTTTTTCTCTGTCTTAGTTTAACCTGTTATTTTGGAAGAGCATATCCTCCAGTATATTTCTGATCAAAAGTGCAAAGGTGATAACATATTTGAGACCTCTTATACTGAAAATATCTCTATCTGTCTTCTCATTTATTTGTTGGTGTTTTCCAAGTCTGGCCATTTTTCTCTAATGTGTAGTGGTCATTGACTATTCATAATTAAGGGGGAGACTTTAACATGTTAATGGATATTCTAGACTAGGAGTGTCGAACTCAATCAGAGAAGGGGCCAAAATCTAAAATCCAGCCTAAATCGCGGGCCGAATGGTTTACTGAACAGTCATAAACTGTCGTTGTGATGGAAACGCAGCGGAGTGCAGTGATGACAGCACGGTGCGGGCCACATTGCAAGGCCTGGCGAGACGGATTTGGCCCGCGGGCCTTGTGTTTGACACATGTGCTCTAGACAATAGGATAAGCTCTGGTTTTTGTGATCCTCCCAACAGTCTGTATATGTTGATCTTTTTTCTTGGGATGGACAGTTTTTTCATGTGAGGATCCTCTACGAGTCTGTCATCATCCTGCCAGCTGAGTAAGGGAACGGTTCTGGGGCTTTGATGCATGTCCTCCCAAGCTGCAGAACACCACCTCCGTCCCTCCCTCCACTGTGCCCAAAGTCAACAAATCAGAAGAGAAAACCTCTATCTTCAGTCTTCTCATGGGAGTGAGGAAGGGTAGATGCCTGCTTGGAGAAGAGAACTGTTATTCTGACTCCCAACCAGTCTTCCTAGAAGTCTTTAGGGAGAACAGTGGAGGAAGCACCCAGCCAACCAGCCATAGAGGTTTTTGACTTTTATGATCTGTGTGAACTTGAACAAGTTTCTTGATTTCTCTGAACTACAATTTCTTCATTTGCAAAATGGGAACCCAGGGCTTTGGTGTGAGCATTAAATGGGATCAATGAGTGTGAAGTGTCTGTCCTGTCTGCCCAGCATAAAGAGGGCACTCAATTGTTGGACATACAGTGATCATGATGGTAGTAGCTGTAGTCTCCTTAGCCTTTCTACACTCTCAAAAGGAAAGCCACCCTACTTATGTTCTGCCAAAGTTTTAATAAAATTTCAGGGGTATCACAAGCTTTGTGACTTGTCGTCCATGCCACCCTCTCTGAGCACCCAACCAAACCTTTAGAGTCATCTCCTCCAGTCTGACCCCCAAACCCAGCGGATTAACATGACTGAGAACTTCAGTGAAGTCCATCTAAACTCAAATCTCAAAAGTAAAACTGATCACCCTTCTCCCTTATTCTGCACAATGCCCACTGTCTTTCTCCTATTCTCCCTCCCTTTCTTATCATTCCTGCCTCCAGTGTGCTAGAGTTCCTCTCCCAGTGCAAAGTGGGATTCCTCCTTCCCACTCTTCTCACCAGTTCTCTCATGCCCTTGTCCTTCTTCCCCATTTTCCTCTCACTGCTCACTTGGAACCTGGGCTCTGGCTTTGTTAGAGGATAGCCTTCCTCTTCACAATCAAGGTCTTTTCCCTAAATTCTTAGGTTTTCTCATCTGCTCTGGACCTCCAGCAACTTTGTTAATTGGCTATATCTCAGGGGGGGTGAATAAGGAAGAGGAACTGAAGAAGCTGGAGAGGTTGGGATTTTCTTAAAGTTAAGAATTTAGAATGCTTGATGGGCCATCTAGTACAGAATATGATGAAAAGTAGCACCCACTGTGCTTGGCATTTTTTCTCAGTCCGACACTTCAGATGGCAAAACTTTAGTAATGAGTGTCCCTACTATGTTCCTCCTGTGCCTCAACCACTCAAAATACACCTAATGAAATCTTTGAAGTATGTGTTACTAACAAGAGTCCTGGTGAAGTAAATGTTGGGAATTGACCTTTGTTGGGAACAATGTAAATACGTGGTCATTTGGAAACTATGTTTTAATAAAAGTAGGTGGTGAAATGTAAGAGCAAGCCTCACTTAATAATCTCTTACATTCTTTTTTCCTTTTTTAACCACACGAAACAGGAAAACCGCACTTTGTTGTCTGTACATGACCTTTTCTGAATGCAAACCTTAGTCTGTCCTTAAAATTCTCCCCAGCAAAATAATAAAGCAAAGGGTTGAGGCAGCTATTAGCAGCTGCCAAGGCCAGTGTGACGATCACAGCTTTCTGCAGCCTGTCTGTGCACTTGCCCATTTCCCACACAACCAGGTGGAAGGTTCTCAGGACATGATAGGGCAGAAAACACAGGAGGAAGATGATCAAGGCAATGATGATGGTGACGAGGGCCTTCCTGTGAGAAACCCGCAGCCCTGACTCCGGGACCTCCACCTTCAGCAGGGCTCGGATAATCAGCAGGTAGCAGACGCTGAGCGTGCAGAGTGGCAGCAGGAAGCCCACCACCAAGGCGATGTAGTTCATGATCTGCAGTTTAGCAATTTTATTGAAGCTCAGCTCTAAGCATGATGTGACATTTTCCTTCTGCTCAGAGCCATTCTTCAGAAGTATTGTTGAAGAAGCCATGATGAGGGTCCATATGATCCCACATAGGACCCAGGCACTTCTGATGCTGGTGACATGGAGGAGCCGGAAGGGGTGGACAGTTGCCAGGTAGCGCATGACACTCAGCACAGTCAGGAAATAGATGCTGCTGTACATGTTGACATACATGGAGTAAGACATAATCCTGCAGGCCAGGTCCCCAAATATCCAGTTGGAGCCTCTGAGGTAATAGTCAACCCTGAAGGGCAGTGTGGTTATAAACAAGAGATCAGAAATAGCCAGGTTCAGCATGAAAACATTTACAGATGTAGACTTCTTATAAGGCTGCAGAAAAACATAGATGGAAAAGCTATTTCCCAAGGCTCCACAGACAAATATTATCAGGTACACAACAGGATAAAAATCCCTCTTGAATTTTTCAATCAGGCAGTCCTTGTGGCTGTTGTTATTGCTGAAGGTGTCATTGGGTTCCATTTCTGATATGGAAGTGGATAGAGGCAAATACATAAGTTTTCTCTCCATGCTGGATTAAAAAAAAAGACATAAAAAGTTACTTCCTGCTCACTTTGTTTACCTATTTCCAGATTTTAATGAAGTGTAGAGAAATATTAGTTTTTCTTTGAAACTTAAATCAAAAATATATTAGCTAATATTTACTATATGCTCCATTATATTTCATGATAAAATTCTAGGATGCAGAATATACATTAATTTATTTGATTGGAGCTGAAGCCTTAAACTTGAGAGACTTTTGGCCTAGAGTTCATATTGACGTGAATGTCCTACAACACTATGGTCTAAATCTACCGGACAGCAGATTTCTGACTAGCATCAATGGAACACAGAAGGAAGTGGCACAACATTTTTCAAGTGCTGGAAGGAAGGCTCTACCAACCTAGAGTTCTATATCCAGCAAAAATATCCTTTAAGTGTGAAGGCAAAATCAAGACATTCTCAGATGATTAAAAACTAAGAGAATTTATTGCCAGCAAACCTACTTTAAAGAATGAAGAAAAGAATTTCCCAAACAGAAAAGAATCAATAAAAGAAGGATCTATGGAATATCATAAAGGAAGAAAGAACACAATAAGCAAAAATATGAGTAAATGCAATAGGACTGGTTCTTTGAAAAGATCAATATAATTGGCAAACCTATAGCAAGATGAACAAAAGAAAAATAGAGCAGACACAAGTTACTATTATCAGGAATAAAACAGGGGGCATCATTACAGGCACTGCAGACATCAAAAGGATAATAAGGAAATACCATGACCACCTCACAAACATAACCTTGACAACTTCAGTTAAATGGATTAATTACTCAAATAATATAAACTATCCCAATTCACCCAATATGAAATAGGTAATTTGACTATTAAGAAAATTAACTTCTTAATTAAAAATTCTTAATAAAAAAACTGCCAATACTAGATGGTTTCACTAGAGTATTCTACAAAATATTTAAATACTAGAAAGAATTAACACCAATTCTATACAATATCATCCAGAAAATAGAAGAGGAAAATACCTACCCCAACTTTTTTGTGAAGCTAGTATTACCTTGAAATCAAAACCAGAAAAAGTCAAAGAAAATACTTATATAAAACTACAGATCAATAATCTTTATGAAAATAGATGTAAAAATCTTAGCAAATAGATGTTAGCAATATACAAGACAAAATTTTTTTTTACACGATGATGAAGTAGGGCTTATTCCATGGATTCAAGATTGGTTCAATATTTTAAAAATACTCAATGTAATTCATGTAAATAGGCTAAAGAAGAAAAATCACATGATCATATCAATGATATACACAAAGCAATTGAAAAAATCCAATAGCTATTTATGATCAAAACTCTCAGAAACAGAGGAGAAGGGGGAGTTCTTTAATTTGATAAAGATCATCTGAAAATATCGACAGCTAACATGCTTAATGGTGAAAGACTGAATGCCTTCTCCCTAAAATTGGGAAAAATGCAAAGATGTCCACTCTCACTGCTCTTATTCAACATATTTCTGTTACAGTCTAGTCAGTTAAATAAGGTTTAAAAAAACAGGAAATAAACATCATACAGATCAGAAAGGAAGAAATAAAACACTTCCCATTTTCAGTGACATGATTGAAATTAAACTACAGTTCCGTTTGTAATCATTAAAAAATGAGACTTAAGTATAAATCTAACAAGATAGTGCAAGCTTTGCATACTGAAAACTACAAAATGTTAATGAAATAAATTGAAGTTCTAAATAAATGGAGATAGGTACCATGTTCATGGATTGGATGGTCAACAGAATAAAGATGTCAGTTTTCCTCAAATCGATATATAGGATTGATGCAATTTCTACCAACAATTTTATAGGACTTTTTTTTGTAGATATAGACAATATTATTCTAAAATGTATGTGGAAAGGCAAAGGAAGTAGAACATTTTTTTAAAAAAGAAGAATAAAGTGGAAAGAAGCAATCTACTCAATTTCAAGACTTATAGCAAAATTTATCAAGATTGTGTGACATTGAAGAACCTAGAGTTCTATATCCAGCCAAAATATCCTTCAAGTTCCAATTTTTTTTTGATAGACACAAAAAATAAGTGGAACAAAATAGGGAACCAAGAAACAGATTCACACAAATACGCCCAATTAAATTTTGACAATGGTACAAAAGTGATTCAACAGTGAAAAGACAATTTTTTGAGGTGCTAGAGCAATTAGATTCATAGATGGAAGGATACAACTGAACCTGAATCTCACACCTTATACAAAAATTAACCAACATGGTCATAGACTAAATGAAAAAAATAATTATAATTATATATATATATATATATATATATATATATATATATATATATTTTTTTTTTTTTTTTATTTTTTTATTTTTTTAAGAAATAAAGCATAGGAGAAAGTCTTTGGGATCTAGATTGAGGGAGAGAATTCTTAGGTTTAACATAACAAAACACACACATAATCTATAAAAGGAAAAAATTGATAAATGGGACTTCATCAATATGAAAAACTTTTTCTCTGCAAAAGGTCCTGTTTATGGGATGAAAAGGCAAGCTATAGACTAGTAGAGAATATTTACAAACCACATATCCCACAAAAGTAACTAGAATATATAAAGAACTTTCAAAATTCATTAGTTAAAAAACAACTAAAACACCAATCCAATTATAAAATGGTCAAAAGACATAAACAGATATTTCTGACAATGTGAAGATAACAAATAAGCACAGGAAAAGTTGTCCAACATCACTAGCCATTAGGGAAATGCAAAGTATAATTTTAATGAAATATAACTACATACTTATTAGAAAGGCTAAAATAAAAATTATTAACAACACCAAGTACAGAGAAATTGGACCACTCATATATTACATGCCAATGATACAGTCTTTCTGGAAATCAATTTGGCAATTTAAAAAAAAAAAAAAAAAAAAAAGCACCAAACATGCAACAACCTCACAACCCAGTAATTTCACTCTTGGAAAATTATCCCATGGAAGTGAAAATGTATGCTCTTACAAAAACCTATACATGAATGTTTATAGCAGCTTTATTTGTAGTAGAAAAAAAAATTGGAAACAAGCCAGATGTCCTTTATGGATTAAATACTATATACATGTCATGGAATACTACCCAGAAATTAAATGGAGTGAACTCTTTTTTTATATATATATATTTTATTGATTTTTTACAGAGAGGAAGGGAGAGAAGAGAGATAGAGAGCTAGAAACATCGATGAGAGAGATTCATCGACCAGCTGCCTCTTGCACACCCCACACCAGGGATGTGCCGGTAACCAGTGTACATGCCCCTGACTGGAATCGAACCTGGGACCTTTCAGTCCGCAGACCGACGCTCTATCCACTGAGCCAAACTGGTTTTGGCTGGAGTGAACTATTGATACATGCAATAACTTGGATAAATCTCCTGGGAATTATGTTATAAAAAAGCCAATCTCAAAATTGTATAAAGTACAATTTTATTTATAAAATAAAATCTTTGAGCCCAACTGGTTTGGCTCAGTTGGTAGAGCATCAGCTTATAGACTGACGGGTCCTTGGTTCTATTCCAGTCAAGGGCACATGCCTCAGTTGCAGGCTCAATACTTGGTGGGGGTTGTGCAGAAGGCAGCCAATCAATGATTCACTCTCATCATTGATGTTTCTATCTCTCTTTCTCTCCCTCTTCCTTTCTCTTTGAAATCAGTAAAAATATATTTAAAATCAATAAAAAATATTTTTAAAAATATTTGAAATGACAAAAATGTAGAAATGGATAACATAGATTAGCAGTTGGGATTAAGAAGGTGATGGCAATAGGAGAGAAGTGGATGTGGCTATAAGAGGGCAGCTTGAGGAATGATAGAAATGTTCTGTATCATAACTGTCCATGTCAATATGCTGGCTGTGATATTTCCTATAGTTTTGCAAGATGTTACCATTGGGGGGGGAGATAAAAACAAGTGATATCTCTATTGTTTCTCACAATTCCATGAAATGCTATAATTAGCTAAAAATGAAAAGTTTAATTAAAAAGAAAAAGGTTAGTTGTAATTTGAGCAGGATACCCCACAGGCGTCTTCAAACTACGGCCCACGGGCCACATGCGGCCTGCAGAGGAGTCTGATCTGGCCCACCACGTTTTTGGGGCAGTGAGCGCAGCCGAGGTGTTACAGTAGGAATTAGTAGTTCATATAGTCCGGCCCTCCAGCTCTCTGAGGCAGTGTTTCCCAACCTTCTCTCATGATGAGAATCACCTGGTGGAGTTGTTAAAACACAGATTCCCGGATCCCAACTAAGAAGTGCTAAACTAGAATTTTTGAGAACATATAGGTAAAATTGCATACCTAACTTAGTGCTCTGTATATAAAATCTGTCTTAGAGCACTAGTTAAGTATACAATTTTACCTATATGTTCCCAAAAATTCTAGTTTAGCACTTCTTAGTTGGGATCCGGGAATCTGTGTTTTAACAACTCCACCAGGTGATTCTCATCATGAGAGAAGGTTGGGAAACACTGCTCTGAGGGACCGTGATCTGGCCCCCACTTTAAAAAGTTTGAGGATGCCTGCCCCAGATGATTGTAGGATTCCATCTGGAAATGGTTTTGTGTTTAGAGCCTTTTATTATTATTATCATTATTATTATTATTATTATTATCATCATTATCATCATTATCATTATTATTAAAGGTCCTCTTCCCCACACACTGCATTCCTCTCCAACCTGTGCACACTGTGTACCCGGAGATATCATCTCAAGGAAGATGGAAAAGGCTCTCAGGAGCCTCATTGCAGTTAGTAATAAAGCCAACTTGTTTTGTTTAACAGGTGTGTTTCTGGTGGTCTTCGGCTGAAGGATATTAACAAATTAGAGTTTGACCAAGGTTCCCGAAAAGTATTTCCTGATTTTAACTAGTACCTCAACTCAGTAATAGTGCACCAATCTGAGACCCCTTGCTCATGGCTGGTTATGAGTTCATACTGCATTGAGCTCTGACATTTCATTGAGAACCTT